CTCAGCCTCAGCCTGCCTCAGCATCAGCCTGCCTCAGCCTCAGCCCAGCCTGCCTCAGCATTCAAAATGTGGCCCGGGAATGGAGTTCTGGGAACTCGAAGAACACGAAGTGGCCTACAGTTGGCTCCGGGCATTCAAAATCATGCCCAGGAATGAAGTTCTGGGAACTCGAAGACCACGAAGTGGCCTACAGTTGGCTCCGGGCATCCAAAATGTGGCCCGGGAATGGAGTTCTGGGAACTCGAAGACCACGAAGTGGCCTACAGTTGGCTCCGGGCATCCAAAATCTGGCCCGGGAATGGAGTTCTGGGAACTCGAAGAGCACGAAGTGGCCTACAGTTGGCTCCGGGCATTCAAAATGTGGCCCGGGAATGGAGTTCTGGGGACTCGAAGACCACGAAGTGGCCTACAGTTGGCTCCGGGCATTCAAAATGTGGCCCGGGAATGGAGTTCTGGGAAGTCGAAGACCACGAAGTGGCCTACAGTTGGCTCCGGGCATTCAGAATGTGGCCCGGGAATGGAGTTCTGGGAGGTCGAAGAGCACGAAGTGTGTGACTGTTGGCTTAAAACAACTTCTGCGGCACCCTGTCCGGCACCCGCCCAGACCCCCCTGTGGAGTCATCTGCTGCTCTCTTTTGACCCCACTAGAAACCTATCAGAACAAGCTGTTAGGTAAATACTCAAGCAAAACTACAAAAAAGAGCACAAAACATGCCCAAAAGTGAGTCCCCGTACTATTCATTTGCTATTTCTGAAGATTCCCCCTGTAGAGGGACAGGCCCGACATAACACGGGGATGGACAGACCCCCCCTTTAGTAAAACGTGGTCTAGTGAAAACGACATGGGGCCCAAATCCGGCGGGCGCGAGCCCGGAAAACAACGGCCACGGCGCCCTCTCGAGAACCGAGAACGGACAATTCACCAATCGACGTGTCACTGTTGGGGGTTCAGTCCACCCCCGAATAACCCCATCGTCGCTGAAGAGCGTTCCGGAGCGCTCTCAGAGCGCTCCGGAACGCTCTGGAGCGGCCGCGGCGCCCAATACATCCTCCAAGCCCGCCGGCTCTCAGAGATTTCGAATTATCCCGATCCGATCTTGTCCCGATCTTCGCGTCGTCTTAGTAGAGGGACAGGCCCGACATACCCCCATCGTCGCCTCTGACTGCCCCGGCGAAGGGCGGGGGACGGGGCCCCCCAGCCGCCCAGATCTCCGCGCCCTGGGCGGTCCGCGATGCGCGAGGCGCGACGCGCCGCTCTCGGGCAGGCGTGAGACTCGGGCACACTCAAGGGGGGGACTCGGGTCGGCCCGACGGGGCCGCCATCGAAACTGAAGGGGCCCCAGGACACACAAATAAATACACATATGTTTTGGGTTTCTGTCTCCCCCCCCCACTTCCCATATTTCCGCATATGTTCTGGAAGTCGACGCATAATTGCGTGTGTGTGTGTGTGCGTGCGTGCGTGCGTGCGCGCGTGCGCGTGTGTGTGTGTGTGTGCGTGTGTGTGTCGCACTGACAAGGGGACAGCGTCCGAATCACAAGCGAAACGAACACAGCCCTGCCCAAAAGGCCACTGAAGCCCAGGAGGCCACTGAGGCCAGGCACACTCTTATAATCAAATCGCGAAGCGAATCGATATACAAGGCATCAAATAATGCAAAGTGTGCACGTGCTTGTATGGCCAAGCGAAGCCCTACTGCCGTCTACTGGGGACCGCGTCCCAGCACGACAGGCATCCCAACGTCTACCAGGGACGGCGTCCTGGCACGAAGGGGCATCCGCCCAGCATCGCACGGATAACTGGCGGGAAACAAATTTACAAGGAAAAACGCCCAGAGCTCGACTCGAGGAGGAGCACCACCGCGTCTGCCTTGCAATGGCCAGGCTCAGCCATCGCCGCCGCTGCAGCCTGCACCAGCGCTGGGGCCCAGGGGCTCCAGGCGGGAGCGAGGAACCCTGAAGCACTCGCCCGTGCCGTCAGGGTCGATCACGACGCATCCAGAGCCGTGCCCGTGCCGCGGACCCGCACCCGCAAGCCTGCGGGCAGGGCGGCACGTGCGCCTGGCCCCAGCGCAGGCGGGGACGGCCTGGCGCTCTGGACGCCGACGTGCATCGCGCCCACGCTCTCGGTGTGTGTGTGTGTGTCTGTGTGTGTGTCTGTCTGTGTGTGTGTGTGTGTCTGTGTGTGTGTGTGTCTGTGTGTGTGTCTGTGTGTGTCTGTGTGTGTGTGTCTGTGTGTGTGTGTCTGTGTGTGTCTGTGTAGGTGTCTGTGTGTGTGTGTCTGTGTGTGCGTGTCTGTGTGTGTGTGTCTGTGTGTGTGTTTGTGTGTGTGAGTCTGTGTCTGTGTGTGTGTCTGTGTGTGTGTCTGTGTGTGTGTGTGTGTCTGTGTGTGTGTGTCTGTGTGTGTGTCTGTGTGTGTGTGTGTGTCTGTGTCTGTGTGTGTGTGTCTGTGTCTGTGTGTCTGTGTGTGTCTGTGTGTGTGTCTGTGTGTGTGTCTGTGTGTGTGTGTCTGTGTGTGTGTGTCTGTGTGTGTGTCTGTGTGTGTGTCTGTGTGTGTGTGTGTGTGTGTCTGTGTGTGTGTGTGTGTGTGTGTGTCTCTGTGTGTCTCTGTGTGTCTCTGTGTGTCTCTGTGTGTCTCTGTGTGTCTCTGTGTGTCTCTGTGTGTCTCTGTGTGTCTCTGTGTGTCTCTGTGTGTCTCTGTGTGTCTCTGTGTGTCTCTGTGTGTCTCTGTGTGTCTCTGTGTGTCTCTGTGTGTCTCTGTGTGTCTCTGTGTGTCTCTGTGTGTCTGTGTGTCTGTGTGTCTCTGTGTGTCTCTGTGTGTCTCTGTGTGTCTCTGTGTGTCTCTGTGTGTCCCCCTCCTGAGCGATGCGCGACGCGCCACTCTCGGGCAGGCGTAAGACTCGGGCACTCACCCGGGGGGACTCGGGTTGGCCCGACGGGGCCGTCATCGAAACGACGAGAGTAGACGCCTCCTAGATGGGGTCCGAGTAGATGGTGTCGAAGAATCGCGCCGCATCGCCAATGCATCGCCGATGTATCGGCGATGCATCGGCGATGCATCGTCGACGTCGGCGATGAATGGGCGACATCGGCGTGGCGAAAGTCGGGCTCCGCATCGAGCCGCATCGTCAATGCATCGGCGATGCGGCGTGATCCTCCGACCCCACCTGCTCCGACCCCATCTGGGAGGCCTAGAGAGAGCCAATCTGAATTTCGACGCGAGCTGCCGCTGCAGACATCCCACGACAAGCTGGACCGTCAGAATCCGGGGCGCGCTCGTCAAGAGGCGACGGCAGACCCTGGTTCTGGCTTGTTCGAGCATTACGTTTCCCCGACATCATCCTCGCACCCTCGCGCCCTCGCACCGCCCAGACTGGAGAAGGACAGCCGCTCCGGGTACATGGGTACACAGACCGCGGCGCGCGGAGCGCGACATCACCTCCATGCCCACGCGGGCGGCCTAAGTGGCCCTGGCTGTGAGGACGCCCCCCACGGCGACCGACCACCACCACGACGCTCACGATCAACCACCACGATGACCATGATGTCCACGACCAACCACCACGATGATAACCCCCTACGACGACCAACCACCACCACGACGACCACGACGACCACGATCACCACCACGACGACCACCACCAAGAGGAGGACCCCCCCGACTACCGACCAGACCACCCCAACCTAACCGAAGGTCCCCAAATTTCGGGCGGCGGGGGGGTACGGGTGCCGCAAATATGTTTGTGCAGTGTTCCCCGACGCCACCCCCTGATAACGGAGGGCAGATGGGGGCCTGCGGGTTGGGTTGGGGTGGCGTGGTGGGTGGTGACCCATTCCCACGAAGACCACCACCACGACGACCTCGACCACCACCACGCCTGCCACCACCAAGCCAATCAGTAATTACCGATACCGCCTCTCCCTGGACCTCTCCCAGGATGCATTCTGACCAGAATACCGAGGCGAATCCAACGGTGGCGACGAGGGCCTCGCAGGAGGCCCGAAAAGGGGAAAACGAAGAAAGGGTAGAGGTATGGGTACCTTTTCTCGGGGGCGCGCAAACATGGATTAGAGATCTATGGATCTGGCGCGCTGTCGCTAAACTCATGGATCGGGGGAGGTGCCCTCCCCCAAATGCGGCCAGTGCCGCCTCGCTCGGAGGCGGAAATCCGCGACTTCCATGGAAATGGGACCCGTCGCAAATCCACGTCCCGTTGATGCATGTTTGCGATCGCCTGATTTTCCTCCTCTGACCACCACAACGAGCCTCGCAGGAAGCCCGAAAAAGGGAAAACGAGTAAAGGGTAGAGGTAAGGGTACTCCGGGTTTCTTAGTAACCGTCGGGGGGGCGTCACCCCCGCCGACAGCTCCACATCGACCCCCGTCGCGGGCAGCCAACGCGCGCCGAAGGCGCTCCGACCCCCGTCGCGGCGCGACGACGAGGCGATGTTGACCCCGGCGGGGGGGTAACCCCCACGCTTATTACGAAACCCAAATCGGGGGCGCGCTAACATGGATTAGCGATCCATGGATTTGGCGCGCGGTCGCCGAATCCATGGATCGGGGAAGATGCCCTCTCAAAAATGCGGCCAGTATCGCCTCGTTCGGCGGCGGAAATCCCGTCGCTAATCCACACCCCCTTGATCCATGTGTCTGCGATCGCCTGACCAGGGCACCCTTGCCTCCCCGGGGAGCGGCCAAGAGGGGGGGGTCCAAGAAGGGGGGGTGCAAATCATGACCGGCGGCACGTGCGCGGCCCAGCGGGGGGGGCCACGGACGTAATGAAATAAGGAGAGGCGCCATGAAATATGGGAAAACATCATGCCCCCCGCCATGATGTCCACCCCCCCCTAGTCATCACCCCCCTCTTTCCGCCCCCGATCCTCTGCACCACCCCACCACGCCGGCCCCCCCCCCCGGGACGCCGACCACGGCCACCCCCGCGGACGACCGCCACCACGGCCCCCCCCTCCGCTCTCTGCGGCCGCCCGCCCGCGGGCCTCGGCGCTCGCGGCCTCGGCGTCGGCGGACCTGTCGGAGGCGCGGGCACGCCGGGCTTGCGCGCGCGGACTGCACTGATAGAGGCCTCCTAGAGGAGGAGGGGGAGGAGGGGGACTCTTTGCACTCTTTGATAGCGGACGCTGTCCTGGGGGGCGAATTTAATCACTGGTATCGCTTTCATCCCCAGCCCCCTCGGGCTGGGGTTCCTGGGCCTGGCCAGGCCTGGAGGGAGCCGCGCGGTCCATCCCCGCTCCCGTCTGGGCCCCCGAAGGCCCAGCAGCCTGGCCAGCCTGGTCGGATCCTGGGTTTTCCGATTGCGGACGCCTGAGCAAAGCCGCCACGTCCGCGCAGGCGGCTTCTTCACGAGCCCTAATGGCCTCTAAAATTGCCATCGGGGGGCCTTCACGACGCGGGAACAAACCTTTGCTTATCCTCGCTAGGTTCTCCGAACGTTTATTGGTCCGCCCGTCACATCTGGCAACTAAATTCATGGGGTCCACGGTGCAATAGGAACCACACTCCGAACAAATGTGAAGGAACCATTTCTCCACATACTGGAGCCTGTGAGAGGGGTGAACATTTTCCAGCAAGCCGCTCCCTCGGGACGAGGGGGCGAACCTTTCTCCAACAGCGGCCTGGGCACCTCTCCTGACTTCGGCAGGAGGCCCTGTACATTTCGTGGCCGCAAAGACCCGCGTTTGGTAGCGGGGTACAACTCTCTCACAGACCGTGCACCACCAGTATTTCATGCTGCGACCGCATGGCTCGAGGATGTGGTCCGAGGCCTGTGCCGCGGCCACCAACTTGGACGGTCTGGCCACCTTCTTCAAAGGGGCTCTCTCCGCCCGAGTGTTTTCCTCGGCCTCCGCTGCACACACCAGGGCTCGTCTGGCCCTTCGACGAATCAGCGAAGCTGTGGCATCTGTTTTGTCCGTCTCAGGCTCCCGCCCCACCAACACCCTCCACGCCAACTCCGCCGCCTCCCCCGCCCACGAATCAGCACAGGCGTTGCCAGAGGCATAACAGAGTTTCTCGCACGTGTCTAATTTCTCTGGGGCCTCCTCTTGGTGGGAGGGGAACCAAACAACTTCCACATCTGGATTTCTCCTGGCCTGGAAGGCTTTGCGGGCCCTGGCCCAGAGGTCTTCGTTGGCGCCCACAGGGTTGGGCCTCCGGAGGCGGGCCCTCCAGGTCCTGGAGATCGTCTTGTGATCAGTCACAAATGTGAAACCGAGATCTGAATCTACTTGCTCTAAAGCCAGGCAGAAGGCTAAAACTTCGGCCCGGGGGGCCGTTTGCTTTTCTCCGAGCAGAGGAACCCCGAGAGCCTCCCCCAAGGTCCACCCGCCTCCCGAATCGATCGCGAGCCCCACGATCGCTGCTCCGCAGCGTCTCCGTCTGGGGTCATCAGAATATTTGCCCCCCGAGCCGTCTCCGAAAATGTGAACTCTGCCTGACTCCGTGCATTCGGCGAAGCCGTGTGATTTTAAGTCCACCTGCAGCTGGCCGAGGAGCGCCTCATCGAACTCAGGAGTGGTGAGCCCAACGGCTGGCACTCCCCGAACCCATGGAGCAGGCGACGCCTCGTGCTGCGCCGCCGCCTGCACCACGAGCACCTCCGACTTCTCGAAGTCCTCGTGGCCCTTGTTCTGCTCACATTCCCAAATGCGGTGATACAAACTCTCCTCTTTGAGCAGGCAACGCGGACAAAGCTTGGAATCAATCAGATATCCTTGTCTGGCGCGCCTCATTCGGGTGCACTGCCCACCTGTGGTGACTATCAAGTTGAGCGCCGCCAAATCTGAAGATCCTTCATTGTGAAACTTGCGCTGCTCTGCTCTGATTCTCCATACATCAGCTCCTGGGAGAAGGTCAGCTCCCTCCTCATGCTTCGACGCCTGCTGCCAGTACAACCTGCGCATATCACTGACCACATCTCCCAAGATAGCGAGTCTCTCCCAATCATTCGTGTACTCCGTGTCAGTGCCGCTGGGGATAAGCCAGGCCTGCAACTGTCCATATGGTAGTGGTCTGTCCCACTCTGTCACCTTGATGGGGTTCCAGCCTATGTCCATCAGCGCGGCCTGCAGCGTGGCGATCGGGCCTCTGACATAGGCCCACCTCCTCCGTCCAGCCGTGATCAGTCGCTGTCTGATCTTTGGCCAGGCTAACTTGACTCTCGCGTGGATCTGGGGATTCATCTGCCACATCGCCAGCCACTCGTGAACAACTCGTTTGCGCAATTCCAGAACTGGCTCCTTGTCCCACATCTCGATTGCAAGTGTTGTCGTCAGACATTTGCCTCCTTGAGAGCCGGCTGCGATCTGACCCGCCTGTCTTCTAAGTTTCATCAGCTCCGTCGTGGAAAGGCCGAACGCTTGATGTCCGCATGTGGCCTTGGGCAAGGCGCCCGTAGACCAGTGTCCTTTCGCTTCTTTCGCCAAGGTAGTGCTTTCCCTCAGCCTCTTGATCTTGCCGAACCGTCTCTTGGCTGCCAGGATTCGTCTCTTGAGTGCGCGTACAACTCGTTTGCGCCCAGCAGCAGCATCGAGGCCCAGGTCCTTCGTGAACGCTTTGGCCTTGGCAGGGGTGCCGTTCTGCTGCAACCTCTTCGCCACGCTCTTGACCATGCCCCTGCTCGAGCCGATGATGACTGTCCTGTCTGAGATCTTGAGCCTCTGTTGACGATGTCCTTGGGCGAGCTCGCAAGCCACTCTGACCATCTTATCTGGGGTGTCCTGTGCCGTGCCTTCCTCTCGAGCCGCAGTGTCGTCGACGAATGTCCAGAGTCCCGCCGTCGGTGATATGATGTGCGCTCGCTGTAGGATTGGGTGGAGAAAAACCTTTGCGAGGCTGACTCCTCTGGGCGACCCCGCAACTATCGATCTGGATACCCATATCGCCTCACTCAGCGACGACTTGTCTTTGAGAAACCGTGCCGCCGCGAAGATGAGTACTTCCATTTCCACTACAACTGCTGGATAGCCGATGCCCCTCGCGATGCGCATCAGCAGCACCAGGCTGACGCTGTCGTAGAACTTCTCGATGTCCTCCAGCAGGGCGAGGCTGGAGATGCCCAGCTCGTACCCCGCCTCGTCCAGGCAGGCGCGGAGCAGTCCAGCCCGCAACGCCGAGCTGCCTTTGAGGGCCGTGTCCCAGTGCGCGCTCAGAGCCTCACTCCATTCGCTGCAAGGTGACGCCCGCGTCCTGCTCCAAAGTTTAACTGGTAGGGGTAGCATCCCCAGCACTCTCTCTCCGCCTGCTGGTTTGGGGGCCACGGCCCCGAGTGTAGCCGTCCACTGCCTCGGCCAAGTGCCCGTCTGCTCGCACATGTTGATGAGGTCGACCAGCTTCTGGCGTGCACCCTGCGGGGCCCTCTTAATGTCGTGCAACTTGAGACCATCCACACCGCCTGCTTTGTTGGGGTTCGTGGCCTGCATGGCCGAGTCAAACTCCTCGATTGTGATCGGGTCCAAGTCTTCGTCTCTGGCCTGTCTGTGCATGACCTGCAGCTCAGACGCGATGTCCTCTCTGGTGTCCACTGCGCCCGTCCAGATCTTTAGCCATCTCTCCCTCTTCGTGTGCATGAGAATCTCTGGGTCCGCCGAGCTTGCGTTCTGGTGGTACTGCTCGTAGGTCGGCTGCGCTGGATCTTTGACGCGCTTGTGAAGGATGCCTGGCTCCTCCGACCACATCTTCTTTGCCCACTTGGTGAACTGCTGCCGCTGTGTGGAGATGCCCCTGGAGACCGCAATTGCCAGGTGATTTTCGATCTCATCCTTGAACCTCTCAAGCTCGCCCAGCGCGTGTGTCTTGACCTCCTGCACACGTAACATGCGCTCATCAGCTTCATCATGATCACTTTTTCCAAAGATCTGATCCAAACCCATCCTTCTGAGCTGCTGGTAGGTCGTGGACAACTCCTTCTCGCACTTCCTCTGTTGCATGTTGTCCGTGCCGTTGAGCCGTAGTGACGCATATCTGGCAATCAAGACTCCCATTATCGACCACAACTCTGCTGCTTGATACTTCATATGCGTACGACCTGGCGTGGCTTTCGATCTTTGCCATCTGATTGCAAAACCACCTCCTCTGCCTCGGTGCGCATCAGCCTGCTCGGCGTCCATCGCGTCTACTCCGATGATCGCCTCCTCCAGAGTGGTGACCCAGACCGCAGACTCGCCTGTGATCGCCTGCTCCATCAGCGTCTGATGCTCACTTCGGATGAGAAGGTTGGCCTCCAACTCGTGCATCTGCTTGGTCAACGCTGGCCCGATGGCGATGCGACTGGCCTGCTCCCACTGGCCCTCGTCTATCGCGTACTGCACCGTCTGCTGCGCCATGTTGGTCTGTGAGGGCTCGAGCCAGTTGAACTCCTCGCGCAAGTCCTCGGGGAGTTCTGCCAGTCTCTTCTGGTGTGCTGCCTCCTTCTGCTTGCTGCGCTTGCTCTCTGGGTCGGGGGCCTTCTTCGGTGGGATCACCAGAGGCAACGGCTTGGGGAGATCCAAATGCCTGCGCCACCAAGCCTCCGAGCGCCCTGGTAATTTGAGCAGGAGCCCCGCGTGTGTCCTCCAAGGTACTTTCGCGTGCCCGTCGATGGTGATGCCGTCTGCTATATCTTCTCGTGCCATGGCGAAATCTATGAGACTGCCCTTGCCCTTTGTCGCAGGTGGCCTGGATCTTCGGAACGATCACCTTGCCTCCCAGGCGCGTGGGGAGGCCTGACTTCTCGACCAGGGTCGGGGGCATATTCAAATCTGCCATGATAACCCAAGGATCTGCGATGCTCCCTATGACCGTCGAGAGCGCCTTAATATTTTCAAAGTTGCTGCCCTGCATGCCCCCCTTGGGAAGCAGGTAGAGGGAGAAGAGAACGACATTGCCTCCGCTGGGGTGGGTAGTCATGGCCGTGAACCCTCTGGGTGGGTCCTGTCGTCCTCGAGCCTTGAGGGTCTCCCTCATCACGTCGAACGTTGTGGTCGCCAAGTGCGCCTTGGCGATGAGCAGCTCGCCTCCGTTGTTGCCCTCCTTCGAGCGTCGCGTCGGGGTAGCTGCCGTGACTGCTGCTTTCCATCCGTCTTTGCTCAGGTCTTTCTTCAGCTTCGTGATGCCTGACTGCGGCACGTGGGACTCCGTGAAGGCGAATATATGAGCAAGTTCCTGGCTCTCGTTGAGGAACTTCTGAGGTTTCTCGCCCCATTGTGTGAAATTGCTGAAGAATATATTGGTGACCTTCGCTGGCTTGGCTGTCTCACATGTCTGATTGCGAGCTCTCTCACACTGGCTGCGACGCCAGTTTTGACAAGCTGCGTCCGCATCTGGCGCGGACGAGGAGGTCCGATCCCCAAGACTGGGGGGCGATGTCCCAGGGAGACCAGGGAAGGCTGACCACTCGGGGGACGGCGGTGCTGGAGGCCTGTCCAGCGCTGCAGGCGGCTGCCATGGTGGGCTAAATACCAGCCCGACCAGAAGAATAGCCCGTAGCGCCGCCCGCAGCTGCCGTACCAACCGACGGTGAAGTGGTGGTCGCCCTCTGAGATGCCGCCCTGAATTCGCTCCTTGTTCTCCTCGATGAGCTTGGCGATCGCCTCTGCCTTCCGCTTTTCTGCTTCTGGATCGCTGGCTTGTTGTTGCTGTGGTGGTGTCTCAGGCTTGGCGTCTTGAGCGGGTGGTGGAACTTGCGCGTGTGCTTGCCCGTCTTCGTTGATCCTGCGCTTCTTTGCCGCATGATCAGCCTTGATCTTCTTCGCGCTCTCGACCATGGTGAGCAGGGCCTCCTGCTGCGTCTTGGCGCGCTCCAACAACTCCTGCAAGGACTTCGCGTCCTCCCTGAACTTCGCAAGCTGGTCCTTCTGAGTCTGCTCCAGGTCCTCCTCATCGGCGAAGAGGCTCTCGTCCACCTGAAAGCCCGACTGCTCGGGCTTGGCCGCCGTGCCCTCCGTCACCGAGTGCATGTTGTATTCTTCCAGCGCCTTCGAGTGCTCCTGCTGTGCCTCGTAGACCTCCGCCGCGGCCTGCGCCACCTGCTCAGCGAGCTTGGCCAGCGCCTTCTCAGCGTCCAGGTGACGCTTGGTGACGCCTTCGAGCTTAGCCTTGGCGGAGTTGACCTTGCCGATTGCCTGCTTGAGTGCCGCAGACTTGGGTAACTCCTTCTTGGGCGGGGCGCACTTCTGGGAGATGGTAGTCTGCAGGTGCTCCAGTTGCTCCTGCATGCTCTGGTCGGGCCCAAGCTTGGAGACGGCGTGGGCCAGCTGCCTGCACACCACTTCCGCGTAGGTGCCCTTGGTAGGTTGGTCTCCCCATGGTGGCTTGCGCGACGCCGAGGTTGTGTCCGCCCAGAGAGTGACGAACGAGTCGCACTTGGCGCAGCAGCCTCCATTGCGCTTGATCTTCCAGTCGTACGCCCAGTTGTTGCAGCTCTTGCAGATTGACCAAGCCCATTTCTTGGACGGCGGCCCCATCGCACTCGCGTAGTGCCTGCTGCCGTCTGGGAGTGGGTCGAGTCGCTCCGCCAGGAGCTCACAGGTTTATTGAAAACTGTCGGGCAGAGACGACCTGGCACTGGCCGCGGACTAGCGGTATCCACGTGTTCCCCTGTGGAACAAAGCATCTTGAGCCAAAATGGCTACGGAGGGGGGGAGGAGGGGGAGGGGAGGGGGAGGAGGAGGAGGAGGAGGAGGAGGAGGAGGAGGAGGAGGAGGAGAGGAGGAGGAGGAGGAGGAGGAGGAGGGGGTCCGAGTAGATGGGGTCGGCGGAGCTCGCCGCATCGCCGATGCATCGCCGAGGCATTGCCGAGGCATCGCCGAGGCATCGCCGAGGCATCGGCGATGTATCGGCGATGCGCTGGCGGCGTCGGCGATGCATCGGCGACGCCGGCGTGGAGAAAATAAAATTGGGCCCAACATCGAGCCGCATCTCGCCGATGCATCGGAGATGCATCGGCGATGCGGCGCGATCCTCCGACCCCATCTACACCGACCCCATCTAGGAGGCTAGAACTAAAGGGGCCCTGGGACACAAAAATCAATAAATGAACGCTGATTCCAGGTTGTCCGATATGTTCAAATATGTTCTGGGTCGTCGTCTTCCCACCATTTTCCATATCATCCCATCGGTTCCTGGGAGTCGACGAGTAAGTGTGTCTGTGTTTTTCTCCCCCTCCTGATACACGGCCGAGGTCGCCGAGAAGGGAGCAGGGGAGGGCAGGGATGGGCAGGGGCCGCAAGAGAGGTGAAGTGTACGTCGCGGCGCGCAGAGGGGGGTCGGGGGTCGGGGGAGGCCTCTTTCCAAAGGAGGCCGCCTCTCCTTGAAGGGCGCCTGCCCTGCATCTACAGACGCCTGCCGTCGCTCGGACGTCCACTTCCCGTGCACACTGTTCGGCTTCGCGCGTGTCTTTTTTTGCTCGATGGTCCAGGATGGTCCTCGATGGTTCTCGCCGGGAGAACATGCGCACGTCCGAGCGATGCCGAGGACGAGGCCCGCACATCCACAGACGAGGCCCGCCGCCCTCGAAGAAGCCGCCTCCTTGCAAGGAAGGGGCCTCCGCCCGCCCGCCTCGTCCCCGCTGCGCGCGTGGCCGAGCAGCGGAGGTGAGTCGCACGGCCACCCCGGGGGAGGCAGGGGCAGGCGGGCGAGACGAGCGAGGGCGCGGCCTCGACGAGACGGGGTGGGCGGGGGCAGGGCATCGGAATTTCGGCGCCCAGATCGGACAGCAAGCACCGAGTCAAGCACGGGTGCCACTGTTTGGGCTGGCAGCGAGCACGCACAGAGCGAGGGGCAGGGAGGGCGGAGGAAGGGGCGGGGGGGGCAGGAGGGGCCCCCAGGCGCGGGAGGGGAAACCGGGCGGGACAGCAGGCACACGTGCGAGGGGGCCAGAGACTAAGGGCAGTCCTCGAGGGGATGGTCCAGGCGGGCTGGTGGTAGATGGGGGGGTGGCCTCAGATGGGGGGTGAAGAGCGGGGCCCTGAAGGGGCCCCGAGGAGTTCCTCTTGGAGCCCGAGTCACCCCTCATTCCCGCCCGCCCGATCTGGGCGAAAAGAGGAAGTTCCCCCCCCCCCCGTTCCTCCTGCTCTTCTCCCATCTCGGTGACTCGCGGATGCGGACGAGCTCGCGTCGGAACGCCGATGCCCCCGACCCCCCCCCCCCCCCGCGCGGCCTGCTGGGGGGGGGGGGGGGGGAACAAACACGAAGAGGACATGAGAGGGAACTTCAAGAAGGACGGACACCGCTGACCGAAGAGGGGGGAGAAAGAAGGGGCAGCCGAGCGCTGGCGCGGGCGCACACGGTGGACCTGTAGGGCGGGCCCAGGCCCTCCCTCGAGGGAAGGGAGGCCCACCCCTCTCCTTGAGAGGGGGGGCGGCCCTCCTGTCAGCCCGAGGCCCGGAGGTCAAGACGTGCGAGCGTAGGAGGGAGGAGGGAGGAGGAGGAGGAGGAGGAGGAGGAGGAGGAGGAGGAGGAGGAGGAGGGAGGAGGAGGATGGAGGAGGAGGAGGAGGAGGAGGAGGAGGAGGAGGAGGAGGGAGGAGGAGGGAGGAGGAGGAGGGGGGAGGGGGGGGCGACGCGGCGGCGCGCCCGCAGGAGTGGGCCGTGCGGGCGGGGGCGGGGAAGGAGAGGGCGTGGGCGCCGAGCTCGGCACGCGGCGAGGGCGACAACGGCTGTGCGAGGAGGGGGAGCGCAAGAGGCGGGAGTCGAGAGGGCAGGCGAGGAGCGGCGGGGGGGGGGGCCGAGCGGAGCCACCACCCCCCCGAGTGGGGGAGTGGGGGCCCCATCAGCATGGCTCTCAGGTACGTGCCGCCGTCTTGTCCACGGCTCCTCCTCCTCCTCGTCCTCCTCCTCCTCCTCCTCCTCCTCCTCCTCCTCCTCCTCCTCCTCCTCCTCCTCCCCCTCCCCCTCCTCCAAGTGAACTGCGATTTCCCCTGGAGGCCTGTGCCAAGCACGGCTCTTTCGGTTCTCCCTTCTCCGCCAGGGAGCTGGTGTCCCAGCCCCCCGGCCCGGTCCCTCCCCCGGGCCCCCCGCGCGAAGGGAGGAGCTGAAAGTTGGAGGGCGAGCGGCGGGTGGAGGGGGCTGCCAAGGAGGAGAGGAGAGGGAGGGGAAGGTAAGGAGAAGAGGTTCCTCAGAGGAGGCAGGTGGCGGGGCGCGGTCAACGCTGTGGGAGGAGTTGGCAGACTTGGAAGCAGGCGCAGTGCAGCGGCGAGGCGTAGGCGTGAGGTGGTGGTCTGAGTCAAAGGGCTGCGGTGCCGCGCCGCGTGGTTGCTGGTGCCGCTTCTGCCGTGGTGGCAGTGAGTGCGTCGCGAGAAGTGGCGCAGCGGCGAGAGCTGCGGAACAGGTAAGTAAGAGCCAGCGGGGCATTGGCAAGTAAAAGCCGACGGGGTAAGAGCCGTCGTGGGAGTCAAACAACTGGTGGAGATGTGCGAGGGCTGCGCCCCGCACTGGACGGCCGCCGCGGTGAGGCCGACGCCCGGGGAAGTTGGAGATTGATGCCTATGCCCCTCGCGATGGAAGTTGGCCCGTGCCAGGGGTCCTGCTCCCAGCACTGGGCAGGGGGTCGTAAGTTGCTCTTGTTCCATCGCCTCCTCCACCTCATCGCTCTCTTCGCCCTTCTCCTCCCCCGCCTTCTAGACTCCGCGGTGTCAGGCGGACTGTCTGCCTTTCCAGGGCGTGGTGCCACCCCGCGAGAGCCCACCGCCCCGCCACGAGCACTGCACTCACGAGCCCCCCCGAAGACCTATGGGTACAGCCAGCCTCATACGACTCAAGAGGTGGACAGGAACTCCTGTCGTTCCCTGCTCGCGTCTTGTCCCCCGAATTGCGCCAAAAAGCAAGAACCATTGCACCCCGCATATCCTGGCCATGCACGCGAAACCCTCGCATGGCCCTGCGCCCCTAGAGGTGCCAGATTCCAATGGCTTCTTAGTGCTGGTGTCGGCTTTCGGCTTTGCCCGACCCCTGGCTGGCCGGTACCAGCTTACACAAGCATCTGGAAAAGTTGTGAGCACTTTTCCAGCGGGTGAGCGCTCTTTGGACGGGCCCTCGCCCCGAAAGTGAGACGGCACCAGCAGTGCCACATTTCGGCAACCAAAAGAAGTCCTGCTGCGGTCCCTGCCATCTCCTCCTCACGGCACCTTCTTCTCTTGCTTCCGCTGCTCTCCTCCTTTTGCCAGCACGCACGCTGACCTTACGGGACACCTCAGACAGCAACAGCGAACCTGAAAAGCTCTTGCCGTATCACGAGTAAGGGGGCGACGGGGAACGTGAGGAGGAAAAGGATAAGGAGGAGGAAGAGGAGGGCGAGGAGGGTGGCGCCAAGCAACACGAGAAAGATGAACATGTGGAGAGGATCTCGAGGAGGATCGGAAACAATACATTACTCGAGGGATCCCAAAATCAATAAGTTTCAGTATAACGGGATGTACTTAGTCCTGGAGTCGGTGATTGGAAGCCTGGTATCGGTGTACGACATTGGTCTCAGTTATTGAAACATGTTATGGGAACATGTTCTGAAGTTGGGTAGTGTTGATGCGTACGTGGTGGTTGCATTATCTTGGCGACTGGTGTTGATTGATGCTCCTCATGTGTGGTATGGCATCTTCTTACATTTGTACGTAGCTGATACTCCTGTTTGCGTGAAGACGTATGCACTAGGAGTACGTGTTAATGTATATGCTGGGCGTATGCTGTTGATGTATTTGCGTGTTTGATGCTTGTGTTACTGGTGCCCGTGCCTGCTGCCGATGCATGTTATTTGTGGAAATCGCCGGTGAGTAGTATTCAAGTGTGCTCACGATGCCGTTTCTGGATGCTCGTTCCCAAAGGAAGCTCAACGTGGCTGTTCCGGATGTCTGTGGACAACGTGACGCCGTGACGCCTGTACGGCACGACGACGTGACGTTCCCTGGTAGGTTTGTCTGCGAACTACGCCTGCTCTATGTTTCGCAGAAGGCATCTATACACCACCACCGTGCCAAGGCAGGGCCATCCTGAGCCCCAGGATGGTGTATACGCCCTCCTGGCCGAGGCCAAGAGGGTCTATACACCATCCTGGGGCCCAGGATGGCCCCGGCCTGGCACGGTGGTGGTGTATAGATGCCTTCGTCGGATATGTGGCCGTTCAGGATGTCGTCACCTGGGCCCTCGGGAGAACTCTGGGGCCCCCGCGGCCGCGGCATGCAGGGCCGGCGAAGCGGGACTGGCCCGTGGCTGGCTCAACAACAGACCCCGGCCTGCCCCGTGAGGTGGCGGAGGAGGAGGACGAGGAGGAGCAGGAGGAGGAGGAGGAGGGGGAGGAGGAGGGGGAGGAGGCGGAGGGGGAGGGGGAGGAGGAGGACGGGGAGGAGGAGGAGGAGGGGGAGGAGGGGGAGGAGGGGGAGGGGGAGGAGGGGGATCCCAATTTTCGCCTTCCCCCCCACTTCCAATATTTTTCTATATGTTCCTAGCAACTGCCGTTTGGTTGGGTCTGTGTGTTTTTTGCCCTTCCGAAACCAGTTCTCAGACCGTGAAGGTCTTCGATGGCGAGAAACTGGCCACAAGCAGCCTCGTGCTCCCAAGGCTTCGCGAAGATCGTAGCAGCACCAGGGCCAGGCACCCTTTACGAGAATCCTGCGGCATACAGGGCCTCATGGCAAGATCTCTTGGTGCACACAATCGGTGTCTTCCTCAAGATGATGTGGGTGTCACTTGAATATGCAAGCAACTATTTACTCCACCGCAGTGGCAATAGGCATCATATACTATCGCACACACACACTACGCTCTAAAGCCCAGCTTCCCGATTCCGCCACCGTGCCCACTGGCACGTGTGCTCCTGGTGTCAGCTGGACGCTTTCTGGCTGGGCTTGCAGACGCGACCCAGACTGCAGAGGCTCAAGGGGCGTTCTAGCATCATCAATCTGGGCGACGTGGCATCCGACCGAAAAGGTCGCCAAGATGGCTCAAGAGCGAGCGAGCAGCCCCCAATGATATACCAAGAGGTCGGCCGGGCCACAAAGGGGTATCCTACCTAACCAATCCCTAATGACTACCCTTTAGTCCTCCCTGCTCTCTCATCCCCTGCGATGGCGTCGGGGCGAGACGCAATCGGAAATATAGACGGGCGGTGAGCAGATAACTGCACGGACAAAAGCTCACAGCCTGCGATCAACTCCCGATTCAAGCGAGCTCCCCTCCTCCCCTGCCACGGCCCACCCTATCACGAAAAGCTTGCACCCTCCGCAACTTTCCGCAAAGCAGAGCGACTCATCCATACCAAAGGCCACGGCTGGAGGGAGCGCGCGCACCACGCGGCTCCCCAACTTGAGGCCGACAACCACTAACACCGACGACGCCGGCGACGACCCGCCCGCCACGCGGGCGCCACCGCCGTTGCCCAGGGGAGCACCGAAAAGCACGCCGACGTACACAGCGATGACAAGGCTGCCACCGCAACTCCGCGCCGCCGCCCCAGCCGGGGAGACGTACCTCACGCCTCGCTCTGGTGCTGGCAGTGTGGTGCTGGCGGTGTGCTGGCAGTGTGGTGCTGGCCACGGCGTGCAGGTGGTGCTGGCGGTGTGCTTCCCGAACCCAGGCGAGAGCGCCGCTTGGACGGACCTTCGGCCACTGTACGCAAGTTCAGCCGGACTGAGCAGGCTCGGGTTCGTAGGACTCGGGTTGGCCTGACGGGGCCGCCTGGAGAGGGACGAGACCCAATCTGAGATATGGCGCGAGCTCCTGCGGCAGGCATCCCACGGAATCAAGGACGGGCACGTCAAAAGGCGTCGACGAATCTGAATTCCAGCGACCCGAGTCTTGAGAAATCTCCCGAATGGGGTCCGAGAAGGTGGGATCGGAGCGTCGCCGATGCATCGCCGACGCATCGACGATGTCGGCGACGCATCGGCGACGCCAGCGCGGAGAAACTCCGACTCCACATCGAGTCACATCCCCGGTGCATCGGCAATGCGGCACGGCCCGCCGACCCCATCTTCTCGGACCACACATGGAAGGCCGAGTGTCTAACTTTATGTAGGAGGATGCGGAGGAGGAGGAGGAGGGGGAGGCGGCGGAGGAGAAGGAGGAGGAGGAGGCGGAGGAGGGAGTTCCGTAGCCATTTTCGCTCAAGCCTGCCTTGGGCGCCAGGCGGGCTGGCTGCTGGTTGTCTCTCCTGCTGCTTCTGCGCTCGAGAGCGGCTCAGTCCCAGTCCCCTTTCGCGGCCCCCGCGATGTCGGGGGTCGGCCTGGAGGAGAAGGTTGGCATGGCTGCGGGGGCGCTGCCAGCCGCATGGCGGCCCAGTGGGTTGCGGGCTCAGGAGATACTGGCCCTTGGAGCTTCGGCAGCGAGGCGCGCCGCGCGACTCAGGCGCCAGCATGCCTGCGAGGCTGCCCTCCGCAAGCTCCAAGCGGACGGCCTGGTGGCGCCAGGCTCATGGCGCGACCGCGAGCTCGCGGCGAGACCTGCGCTGATGCTGCTCGCCGAGGGCCTGCCAGTTCCAGGTGGCCGCCGCCGCCGGCGGAACGCTGCGTGGCATTCGGCTCGCGTGCCAGCGAGGGGCTTCGCGCGCGCGTCCCCCGAGGACCTGGCCTGGGCTGCCGCGGGGCCCCGACGGCGACAGCGGCAGCCTCGAGGGACCACAGGCCGACGCGGAGGTCATCCAGGGCATCGTGGAGGAGAGCTCCGAGTCCATCGTGCAGCTGGACCTCGAGCGCCAGGACTCCGTGCAGAACCCGATCGAGTACTTGGAGTGGGTCGCCCTTCCCGCCGCGGCCCTGAAGCGGACGAGGGCGGCGTCGGCGTGCGAGCAGCCCTTCGTGCAGCTGGCCGTGAAGCTCGCGCAGGACGGGTCGGTGAAGGTGGGACTCCGCAGGCTCTGCTCGAAGGGGCACGTGCTGGACAGGGACTCAAATCCGTTCGACGACCCGCTGCCCTGCGCCGCCTGCGGCATCATGATTCCCGTAGATGGCGTCATCTACATCTGCGAAGACAATTGCGACGACACCTTATGCCCGTCCTGCGTGCGTGAAAGATGACCGTGAGTGGCAGCGGCGCGCCCGCTGCTTGCTTTGCCGCCCCGTGCCTGTCACCGACGGCGCGCGGCATGGAAAATGGTTCAACCTCCTGAGGCGCGGATTCTTGCTGGCTGAGGCGTGTCACCGACCACCTCCGCCCTGGGAAACAGAAACAGAGACAGAGGCGGAGGAGGGAGAAGGAGGAGGAGGAGGAAGGAGGAGGAGGAGGAAGCAGGAGGGGGAGGAGGAGGAGACCCAGGGCACGCCGCAGGCACGCCGACGGGGCCGCCGAGGCTGCTGGCCGAGGCTGCTGGCCGAGGCTGCTGGCCGCGGCTGCTGGCCGCGGCGGCCGCCCGGGCAGCCCGAGGCGGACCGGCCGAGGCGGCCACGCCGACGAGGCCGCCGAGGCGGCGGGCCGAAGCGGCCGCCCGCGGGAGGCGACCGGCCGCAGAGGGGCCGGCTGGGGGCGGGCGGGCGGACCCGCCGCCGGCGCGCTCCTCCTGCAGCGTCGACATGGCCGGGGGCGTGGCTGTGCGCGGGCGCCTGGCGGGCGACAGCGCCCTCCTCCTCCTCCTCCTCCTCCTCCTTCTTCTCCTCCTCCTCCTCCTCTCCTCCTCCTCCTCCTTCGAACGCTGCACCAACTAGAGGCGGCAGCCTGGAGCGTACTTCCACCACCACCACCACCACCACCACCACCTCCTCTTCCTCCTCTTCCTTCTCCTCCTCCTCCTCCCTCCTCCTCCTCCTCCTCCTCCTCCTCCCTCCTCCTCCTCCCACTCCTGGAAGGGGGAGGAAGAGGGGGAGGAAGAGGATAAGTCCTCCTCTTCCTCCTCCTGTCTCCCTCCAATGGTGACAGTTGGCGGTGCGCGAGCGCTTGGCGAGCGCCGCCGCCGCCCTCCCTTCTGCGAGGGCAAGGCAAGGCAAGGCAAGGCAAGGCAAGGCAAGGCGCGCCTGAGTCCGCCAGGGGGCGGGGCCTTGATCGAAGGCAGGCGCGGGCAGGCCGGGGCCCTCAGTCGCAGATGTGGAGCTTGTGGTCAGTGCTGTGTGGCGTAGGAAGGCTTGTTCCCGATAGCTCCATTGAGTGCTGTCTTGTGCTAGTGTAACCTCGCCCTCCCCGTCGTCCCTGCTGCGCTGACGGGGAGGACGAGCAGGCAACGGTAACAGTGATAACAACGATCGCAGCCATCGTCTTGATCGGTGTCTCTGTGATCGCTGTTGTCGCTGGCACGTGCGAAGCCTGCCCCTGCGAGTCAGATTTTTGAAGCGCCACCTGGGCTTAAGACTCGCGGGATGTCTGCAGCGAAGTGAACCCCAGCGGGGCTGTCCTATATCCGATTGTCGATTGGACCCGCAGGCTGGCAGCAAGGGTAGGGTGTTCGCAGTTGGCGGCAGAAAGCGTGTGCCGACGGCGACGGCGACTACGAGGACGGCGGCGGCGACATATGACATAGGAGGAAACGGGTCCTGAGGGAAACGGGTCCCGGGTGCTTGTCGCTGTCTTCTGGAAGCCTGGACCCTCAGCTGGCATGAACAATACAGGTCCTGGCAGAAACAGGCCTCGGACCCCGAGGCCCTCCCCCAGGGCCAAATCTTCGTCCCGAGCCGTTCCTCGAAAGTCCCGCGAAGGGCCTGAAATCCACCGCCCCTGTGTTGGCGTGCGGAAGAGGCTGTTCGCTCTGCCCCCTCTGAGGCTTCTGTTGTCTGCCCCCTCTTCGTTGGTCGTCGTCGCTCCTTCCCCTTTCCCAGGCCTCCCCCTTCAAGTGGCGAATCACAAAGGAAATTGAGCCATGTGGTAATCACAAAATGGAGCCACGTCGTCATTGAATCAAAGGGGGGGCCCTTCCCTTTCATCCCTTCCCCGCCCGGGTGGGGGGGGGGGTCCCAGGGCGGGGGGTCCTGTCCCAGGGGGGGGTCCCGGGTCAGACACGACGCCCCCCCCCCAGGAATCCCGCGGCCCAACACAGCCCCAGGACGAGCCAAGAATGTCCTGAGAGACCCTCACGAGACCACGTCCTTGCTCCGTCCACATCTGCGGGCACCACTACCAGCCCCGAGTCTCCCCTCCCCCCCCCCTCACAACTACCCCCCCTCCACTCCCCTCCCCTCCTCCCCTGAACCTCTGCCTCCAGCTCCTCCTCCCCATCCTCCTCACCCTCCTCCTCCCCATGCGCCTCCTCCCCCTGCTCGACCTACTTCTCCTTCTTCTACCTCGTCGAGGTCAGCGTCCTCATCTTCGGGGTTGTCTTCATCTTGAGGGTCGCAATAAAACAAACACCCGAGACCCGTTTCCCCCAGATCTCCGCTTGCTTCATGCCAAGGCCGCGCATGGCGACAGCAGGACCAAAAAGCGAGCCGACAGCGAGACCGAAACTGACCAGACACGACAGGCCGCAGCCCAGAAGGGCGCAGCAAGGCAACAACAACACAACAACAGCCGAACCCACCGAATGCACCCGACTGCGACGCAACCGAACCAACCGGACAATGAACACCTGGGATGGCGCGTTAGGAGGCAACCACTGGGACATCTTTGTCGCAAGGAGCAAGGAGAATTAAGCCCCACTGGGTTGCTGCTACGCCGGATCAGGCCGCGGACTAGACGGGATTGCGCCGGATTCGGCGGGATAAAGCTTAAGTCGGGCCTTTCCCCCTACAGGGGGATTTTCGACGAAAAATAAAAAATACCCCAAAACTAATCACAAAATAATCCAAACATAGTCTGGGGATAATTTTTTGAATATGTTTTAACCTTTTTGGTGCATTTTGGGGAAATTGTAGATTTTTCGTCGAAAATCCCCCTGCAGGGGGACACGCCCGACATAAGATTAAGCCAGGCGGAGCGGGACGAAGCCGATTGAAGCCAGATCTCGGACCACAGGGCAAAGTCACAATCTGGCCTCCCAGGAGCTGCATCCGAGCGAACCGACCGAACAGCGAGCACCTTGGATAGCACGCGCACGCGAACGCACGCACACACGCACGCGCGCACGCACGCACGTGAAAGTTGCACACCTGTCGGGTCGGGCGAAAGGGGGGGATAACAAAGGGGGGCTTTGAGAATCAGCTCACAGAGCTGATTTTCCCAGCGCCTCCCGGCGCTGGGAGGCGCCGGGAGGCGCCCGTGAATCGAGGAGTGGGCCCCTCGGTGGGGCCGAAACCAGCTGTATGCAGCAGATTTCGCAACCCCCCCTTTCACAATGTCCCCCTTTCGCCCGGTCCGAAAGTGCGTTGCAGGGCGCGCGCGCGCCCGCGCGCCTATTCGGGCTCCCGCCCGGGGCGTCGACCTCCTCGGGCCTGCGGCCAGGGGGGGGGGGCGAAGCGCCGGGGAAGCCGGCGCGGCGGAGCGGACCCGAGCAGGCGTGCATCTCTCGGCTGGAGGCCGCGTGCGGGAGCGGTCGGAATCAGATCGGAGGGTTGCAACATACATATAGATATAGGAACATACACATATATGCATATATATATATGTATGTAAATATATGATATATGTAAATATGACTTGGACATATATAAATATGGATACAGATACTAGAATGCATTGGCGCTTCGCGCCATGCACCTTGGTCCAGGACGTTCGGTATGCAGGCGGAATTTGAATGTCAACCCGACAATTTAGCAATAGCTTCTTGTTGCCGTTACCGGCGTCGCCGTGTAAAACATACGAAATACTCGTGTTCCGTCCTTCATGTTTCTTTTTCCCCACTCTCGCCATATCCTGCGTATTCTCCCCATCCTTCTCAGCTCTTTTTGCGGAGGATCATCCTTGGAGAGCCTCTGGGGGGTCTCACAAAAGTTTCAGGCTTTCGTAAGGCCTTCTGGAGGCCTCCTGATCGTCTTCTGGGGGCCTCGGGAGGCTTCCTCGGGCCACCCTGCCTCCAACCGCGGTCTCCCTGAACGACTGGGTCACGATTTGAAATGCTTCGGATGGTGTCTTTGGGCCATCTTGGGCCGTCATGGGGCTCTCTGAAGCCATCTTGGAACCTTGTTGTGACGTCTTGGGTTCTGTTGGACTGCCTGAAACCTGAAAGCCCTTTCGGAAGGTTGTGGGGCGATTTTCAAGCCTCCCAGGCGGCTTCGGACTCCCAGAAGATCGCCGTCTTGGAGCGTCGGGAAGCCGAAAAGAGGAGAACCCCAACATTTCCCCAAAACCGACAGAAAAAACAATGATTTGTACCTCTTGGGGCCTTCTTTGGAGTGCTTTTGGAGGCCTCTTGGGACGTTTTGAAGCGATATTTGGGGGTATAGCCGCTTCTTTGGGGTCGTCGTGGACCGTCTTGGGGCTCTCTGGGGTCGTCTCGGGAGTGCGCCAAAACGCCTGAACCATCTGGGGCCGTCTTCGGGCCTGCGTGGGGTTCTCCCGGCTCGTCTGGCGAGTTGCCCAATCGGCCCGGGATGGGCCACATTCGTAAGGGGGGTGCGTTGTTTCTGGGGTCCCCGGCCATATAACATAGATGATCAGTATGAATATAGTGTATAGATGTACATTTACATACATGCATAGATGTATACAGGTATGCATGCATGCATACATAGATACATGCATACATACAGACAGACATACATACAGACAGACAGACATCAGAAGGCAACTACTGGGAGGTCTTCGTCGGACGGACCGGGGAGGATGAAACCCCACTGAGCGGGCTGCCACGCCGAATCGGGCCGCGGATCAAGCGGGACTACGGTGGATCCGGCGGGCCAGGGCAGAGTCAGAATCATTGGACCTCCCACCCCCTCCTCCCGCTCCCCCTCCCCCTCCTCCTCCTCCTCCTCCTCCTCCTCCTCCTCCTCCTCCTCCTCCTCCTTCCTTGCCTCCCCCTCCTGGCCTCCTGCCTCCTCCTCCACCTCCGAGGCGACCAGCGGTGGATCTGGTGGACCAGGGCGGAATTTGCGTCCGAAGCTCTACGGACAGAGAGATCCGAAATGAAACAGTTGGCTTTGAAATCTGCCCATTTCTAAATCTATGCTGTTCGGTCCCAATAGGAATCACATTGGAATCCGGTGAAACTGGGATCCGCCCCGCCCAAATAAGGTCCCAAACGTATTCCCATAGGGCTGTAAGTATGATAAGCTGTTTCTGGAATGAACTCAGTTCCTATTTCGTTCTCGCCGGATGCGGAGACAACTGCAGGCACCCAACAAAATCCCTGTGACACGCAGGATTCGAAACGCTAGGGGTGCCCAAACCTCGCGTTTACATCTGGACGGTTTGGGATTTCCGGGATGAGAAATGGAAGTGAGGAGCCTTCGTGTTTTCATACGATGTTTCTGAATTTCGGGACTTGCATATCCCAGCGAGAATCCCGCCGAGAAGCCCCCGAAAGTTGGAAGCTCTAGAAATCCACAAAATCCAAAACATCCACGAACAAGCGCGCAAGGTCCGACCAAGCATCTCGGGGAGCGGCTCGCCCTATGAACGGAGCGGACATTAAAACGACTGCTGCACATGCATGCCAAACGCGCCCCTCTCACGTTCAAACATTACGTGTGGTTGTTGGTCAGAAACTGCACAAACTCGTCCTCGAGGGCATTCCATGGAAACGTACGCCCTGCCGCAGCGTTTCCTGAAACAACAACCCGTTCGACGACAAAAACTTGGGCGCAGAGTTTGTCCATCTCGTCCTGGGCCTGCCCCAGCGTCTGGGGCCGTCCGGCACCCATCTCATGACAGTTGCAGGCCACGAGCCAGGGACGCACAAACGCGACATCAACCGCAATCGAGTTATACCTGCTGCGTCGGCCCATTCAAAAACAGCAAACATATTCACTTCCTGCTCCAATCTGCGTTTGAAGCGCCTGCCGACGTCCTCCCAACCCTCATGCTACAGCTTCGAGAACCCCATTACTTTCCGAAGCATATTCTTCCGAACGGCTGTCAAACGCGAGCGATGTCTGCGGGTCTTCCCAGAGAACCCACGCCGCACACAAATGTAGGAGTGATCACAAATTCGAACAATTTCAGCCGAAGGCGAACAGAAATACTATTATTGCTAAGCGTCTGCTTGTTGGCGTGGAAGCGACCCCAAGCGCATTCCAAAATGTAGTCAACATGAGGATCCGCACGGCTGGTCAGATTGCCGCTGAACTTCCGTCCGAAGTATTTTTGAAAATCACGGAACGTCATGACAGGTGACAACATGTCGCCACGTGACACAACCATCGGAACCTCAGCATGGGATGCACCGGGTCGTTCGTGACAATCCTCGTCTTGGTCGCATTCCGGCTGAGGCCTCGCTGCCCCAGCTCCGTGGACAGAGTGGCGAGCATCCGCATTGCCTCTTCCGACAACCTTACGTACAACAAAAAATCGTCCGCATACCTGACGTTGCTCAGGAACTCGCCGGGCCCAACCGGCAAGCCGCAGTTGGGGCTTTTCAACTTGACGGCACGCAACGCCTGCTCAAGCCCAGCGTGAAAATAGCAAGGCGGACATCACATCACCTAGTTTGACGCTGCGAGTAATGTCAAACATCTCGTAGTCAGACCTGTCTAGTTCACATACACGTCTGCTAGCAAGCGCAAGTAGTCGTGAGGAAAGCACTGTCCACGCAGAGCCGCAGACATCATCGGATGTTCGATCCGGTCGAAAGCTTCCTCACTGCCCATCCCAAGAACCCCACACATCCGAATCACAGCACAAAGTTTCTGCACCCCTGACATCGCAAACCTTGCGATTCCATGCGGAAAGTTGGGAATCTGGGGATCGGAACTCTTGGGAGGGATCTTGGAACAGAAAAAGAGAGAGCGAGAGACATATAGAAAATGAGATTGGGAGAGAGAGAGAGAGAAGGAGATAGAGAGAGAGAGAGACCGAGAGAGAGAGAACGAACAAAAGAAAGAGAGAGAGAGAAGGCAAAAGAGAGAGAGAGAGAGAAACGAGAAAGAGGATGAGGAAAATAACCAAACACTGCCGTCGTAACACCACCGTCGTAAAGGAACACAACACAACCACCGGAGGATGAGGGTACTGAAAAAAGGGGCTGTCCACACCCATGTCAATACACATATCCATATCCATATCCATATCCGCGGCATCCCGAGGTCCAAAAGATCGGGCCCTCAAAGACGGTGGATGCGCACAACATCCTGGTCTTGGAAATCTCGATCCTGGATCCTCGTCTGCCTCCACTGCCCCGTCGTTCCCAAACTCGCATCTCGGGTCGTTTTTGGACAGTCCTGGGGCCAATGAGTCGGGCCGGGTGAAAGGGGGGGATAACAAAAGGGGGGTTTGAGAATCAGCTCACGCAGCTGATTTTCCCAGCGCCTCCCGGCGCCGGGAGGCGCCCGTGTATCGAAAAAGGGGCCCGACGGCGGGGCCGAAACCAGCTGCATGCAGCAGAGTTCGCAACCCCCCCTTTCCCTGCCCCCCCCCTGTTGTTCAGCCTGAATAAGGTCCCGCGGAGGCTGGAAATGGACCAAAACCGTTTTTGGGACAGTCATGGGGCCAATGAGGTTAGGTCAGGATGTCCCCCATCAAAAAATAATCAAAAATAGTAAACAATACTAGAAAAATCGTCCCCCGACGATTTTCGGACTGTTTCTGCATATTCCTCATGTAGAGGGGCCGACTTAACAATGAGGTCCCGCGGAGGCCGAAAAACGGACAAACACCGTGGGGTCTGCTGCGGTTGTTCCCTCGAGCCTCCGCCGTCTCCAGCCGAGGCTGAACAGGCTGCGGCTGCGCCGGTAGGAGGCCTGGCCGGGGCCGGCGCTCCCTGCGGCCTCTCTCCCTGGAAGGCGCCTCGGCCCTGCTCGGTGCCCTCCTGGCCGCCGCCTCCTCCTCCTCCTCCTCCTCCTCCTCCTCCTCCTCCTCCTCCTCCTCCTCCTCCTCCTTGGACCTGCTGGTGCCCGCCTGCTACGCCACGTTCGGGCGCTGCGCCGTAAGGGCGCAGGGTGTGTCGAGCTGGCCCTCCTCCGGCATGCTCAGAGGGGTCGCCCCCCCCTCTCCGGGCACACCGGTGAACCAGAACCGCAACCAGGTGGATTCTTGGCGAGGTCCCCTCGAGGGAGAGCCCACCGACCTCGACATGAATACTCTGGTTGTCGATGTGGCCGTTATGGAGGGCCACGTCGACCACAACCAATGCGAAGCTGGTCCTGGGGCCCCTATAGGTGACTGGCATGCGCGAAGCATCCCCCAGGGTGTGTCCTCGATGTGGTTGTGGTCGTTTGCTGCCCCCGCCACCCCTCCCGATCAGCTGAAGTGTGTCTCCTCCTGATCCTCATATTCCTGGGCACAACGCCGACCCAGGTTGCACATACCCCTGTGGTCGAAGGGCGCGTTGGCCCCACTGGCCGATTGACCCTCTAGATGGGAACATCAGCCGGCGCAGGCGCCGGCGCTCGCCGTCGTCGGTGGCCAGGGGGGGGGCGACCCCACCAGCTCGAACCCCTCCCCCAGTTGCAACTCGGAGGGTTCGAACCCTCCTCCTGCCCCTGGACAGAAGGAAGGGGGTTCGGGTCCATGATCACCGACGTGACCACCACCAACCCGCCCACCACCAGCAGCACGACCACCACCAGCGCGACCAAGACGACAAACGCGACCACGACCATGATCACCAACATGACCATTACAAAAGCACCCACCCACTCCGTCCTCCCCCCTTCTCCCGCCCATTCCCCTGCTGGGCCGCCGTTGCCGCCGCGCCCGCCTCGCGCCCCCTGCCCCACCCCCCTTCCTTTTCTCCTCGTAATCTCCCCCTTCCTTCGCGGAAGGCGGGGACGCCGCTCGCGGCGACGCGTCGCGGCCGCGAAAATGGGGCCGACGGAGAAGGACAAAAATTGAAGAGGGACACGGGGTGGCAAGGGAAAAAACAAAGACGAGAGGAGGGAGGAGGGACAGACAGAGGGAGGCCGGGATAATGGATGAGGAGAAGGGGAGGAGGGAGGGAGGCGAGGCAGGAGGGAGGACGAAGGAGGAGGAATGACGACGAAGGAGGCGGGACGACGAAGAAGGAAAGGGGAAGGAACAGGGGCGAAGCACCGCCTTTCCTGGCATAGTGGAGGACGCAGCCGCCGCCACTTGTGAACAGCGCAAGCACGGCGGGCCGACGGCCGTTGCGCAGTGCTGTTCGGAAAAATGCAAAGGCGGGCAAAGTTGCGACTGCGTCGCGCGTGCGTCGCGCGTGCGTCGCATTCGCTTCGCGCGCGTGGCAAATGCGTCGCGCGTGCGTCGCGCGCGGGTCGGGGTGCGTCGCGCGCGTGTCGCGCTTGCGTTGTGCGTGCGTCGCGCGCGCGTCGGTCGGGTCGTTCGCGCGTCGCACGCAGGTCGCGCGCGAATCGCTCGAACAGCGCCGGGATTTTCTGACGGCATGTGAATTGCACGGCCCGCTGGCGAATCAATTAAGGGACGCGCGCGACAATCACACAAATCGCGATGCAGGCGCGTGAACACTACGAACGCGAAGAAGCGAATAGACGACATGGAGATACAGCGCGCACGGAGTAATCAATTTCAAGCGCACGCCCCATCAGAATTTGAACATCGGTTCGTCGCGGCAGCAACGTGGCGACGTCTCGCCCGCCGATGCACTGGGGGGAACAAGCGGAGGGAAGAGAGGCGAGGGAAGGGCGGGCGGAAAAGGGAACGGACGGGCGAGGAGGCGGCGCGCGGGGGCGGCGCAGCGGCGGCGGGAGGGATGGAAGGCAATCGGAGGGGGGGCGGCGGGAGCGAGGAGGGCGAGAGGGAAAGTTCCACGAGGGCGGGAGGACAACGGGGGGTTAGTAGGGAGGGGGACAGGACGGCAGCCTGACACAAAAGAACTTGAATACAAATTTCGCAAACGGGACAAAACAACAACATTATATATATATATATAAGAAAAACGCAGCGCTTTGGACGAGGGGAAGAGGGAGGAAGAGGGGGGGGGGCAGGAGGATTGGCGCGAAACGACACGGGGGTGCGGGGCGCGATGCGGCGGGGCGAAGTGGCGCCGCGTCGCGCGACGCGACGTCACCCCCACCGTGGCGCGACACGCGCAGCCCCCAATCAACGCGAGGCGTCTTCGTCCTGAGTAACGGTTGGCGCAACCCGAGAATACGCGCCAGCGAATCCTCTTGCGCCGTATGGGAAACATAGCGTGTTGGTGGATCGTCGAACTAGGAGTGCGCAACGACCGCCAACCTATATGTCGCTGGCAAAATTCCGCGACATCTGTCGCCCACGCACTCTGGGAGGCCGGGACTCGGGACAGAGACGCAGAACCAGGGCCGGCGCACGGGGGGAGGCACCGGCGACGCACCGAACAAAACTGAAAGGGGAGGGGTCGCACTCCTGGGCCTTAATAGTTCCCTCTGGGCTGGGGCGAATCCCAGCAGTCCTCTTCAAACCCTTTCTTCACACTTGGACAACGCTTCTTCACTTCCCCTCATTAGTGGACACCGCCTCCGCGTCCTCCTCCTCCTCCTCCTCCTCCTTCTCCTTCTCCTCTTCCTCCACCTCCTCCGCCTCCGCCTCCGCCTCCGCCTCCGCCTCCGCCTCCTCCTCCTCCTCCTCCTCCTCACCCTCCAGTCGGGGACTCCAAGCGAGCGCCTCGCTCGATCGAGGCCCCCCCCCAACACCCGGGCGCCCCGTGCTTACACTGCGTGTCGGCTCCCCCTATCGGGTGGATCCCAGGTGCTATGGCTGCTACATCGGCGTGGCTATGATTAAGTCGGGCGTGTCCCCCTACAGGGGGGGGATGTTCGACAACAAAAAATACAAAAAAAGTCAAATAGTCAGACAATCTTCAAGAATAGTCCCCATACTATGTTTGACTATGTTTGAATATTCCCCATGTAGAGGGGCAGGCCCGACTTAAGGCTATGATTGCAGTCGGATCTTGGAGAGGACACAAGGCTACCCTAGTAATGTAGGAGGCATGGGTCGCGAGACACAGGACACAAAGGGTACCCTTGACTTGGCAGGGCCGACCTACGACATCAAAAATAAGAGACCCGAACACATGCAAAAATAGTCAAAGAGAGTTGAAGTATCGTCCCCGGACTATGTTTGACCATTTTTGAATATTCCTCCTGTAGTGGGACACGCCCGCCTTGAGACTATGAGGGTCTCATAAGACAGGAGTCGTGGACTCCGAACGAGAGCCTCGCTCGAAATGTCCCGATGCTACGGGCGCGAGCGGGCCCGTGAAATTACCACCTGGCGGCTCCCAGGGGTGCCCACGTGCTGTGCATGCCATGCCGAGGTGGCCACGAGCATCTCAGAAGACGTACCTTTGGGTCTTCAAGCAAGCGCCTGGCTCAAGACATCCCCGCACCCCACGCTCTGGGCGCGAACGGGCCCGTGAAATAATTCTTGGCGGTTCCCCGTTGGGCCTGCTGCGTCGAGGTAACGAGGAGGCTCTCGCCAAAACAAGAGTCGGGGACTCCAAACGAGATCCGGCTCGAGACATTCCGACAACATAGGCGCAAACGGGACAATGATATGGCTGACCCACTAGAGGCCCCCCCTTCGGGTGCCCACGGTTCATGCCTGCTGCACCGACATGATAAGGAGGCTCTCGGAAGACAATCATCGAGGACTCCAAACGAGCGCCTCGCTTGAGACTTGCCAACAATGAAGGCCGGGACGAGGAAGTGTCCTGCCCCCTGGCGGCTCCCCCCTGGGGCCTCTACACGCCACGCTTGCTACATCGCTGCGATCACTGACAAGGTCGAGTGGATCTGAGTATACGAGTGTGATTGTTCTGAGTTTGAGTGACTGCGAGTAAGAACGGGTTTGCCAACTAGTGGAGAGTGCGTTTGTAGTCTGAGTATGGGTAATCTGAGTGTGACTGAGCCTGAGAGCGCGTGAGTCTGAGTGTGAGTCAGTCTGAGTTTAAGTAAATGTGCCCGTGAACTTGAGTATGAGTGAGGTCTGACTGCGAGTGGGTCTGACTGTCAGTGAGTCTGAGTGTACGAGTGAGTCTGAGTATGGAAGGGAGTTGATGGGACTGCGAGGAAGCGAACTCGTCTGACTAACAACAACAACAACAACAACAACAACAACAACAACAACAACAACAACAACAACAACAACAACCCAATATACAAAGAAGAGAATGAGCACAGTCATGCAGATAGAGAGAGCAGACCGCTTAAGCGACGAGGGGGGCGGCAGCCAGGCGGCAACAGTGGCAGCAGGGAGGGCCCTCTGCGGATGCAGAAGCTCCGGAATGAAGTCCTCACTCTCGTTGAGGGCGCTGGCCATCCCGTCGTCGCTGGCCTGTCGCTGTCGTCGGCGTCGTCGTCGCCGCTGTCGCCGTCCTCGTCTTGGTCGTCGTCGTCGTCTTGATCCTCCTCCTCGTCCTTGTCATTGTCCTCGTCCTCGTCCTTGTCTTAGGTCCGGCAATTGCGACTACAGGCGGTCCACGACCACTTCGGGCCAAAAAACCCAAACCAGAAAAAAACATCAGGAAATCTTGAAACCAAAACCTGGGGAGGTCGACATCCTGAGAAAAACTCAAACACCAAACCTGCGAAAAACTGAAACCCACAAACAACTTTAAAAAAAAACGTGAAGCGCAAACCTGGGAAAAACTCAAACCAAACAAAAATTCCAGAAAATCTCTAGGCCGAAACCTGGGAGAAACGTCGGTAAAACTCGGGAAACAAACTCTAAAAAACTCTGGAAGAATTCTTGAAGCATTCTGAAAAAAAACTATAAAAAAAACTCTGGGAAAACTCTGGAAAAACTCCAAAGGACTGAAAACTGAAAAAAACTCTGGGGAAAACTCTAAACAACTCTAAACGCTTGAAAACTCTTAAAAAAAAACTATAAAACAACTTTGGAACAACTCTGGAAAAACTCTGGAAAAAACTCTGGAAACTTCTGAAAAAAAAAACAACCTTCCGGGTTTGAGTTGTTGTCCGGGTTTGAGCTTCAAGTTGTTTCTAGGTTTTTTGTGGGTTTGAGTTGTTCCCAGGTTTCGGCTTCAAGATTTTCTGTAGTTTCTCCTGTGTTTGAGTTTTCCCCAGGTTTTGTGTCTGAGATTTTCTCAGGTTGTCTTGGTTTTTGAGTTTCCCATTCGAGATGTTTTAACATGTTTTTGGAGTTTGAGTTTCCGGCCCAAGAGTTTTTGAAGATTTCGGCATGTTTTCCTATGGACCGCCTGTAGTCAATTGCCGAACCTAATCCTTGTCCTCCTCCTCCTCCTCCTCCTCCTCCTCCTCCTCCTCCTCCTCCCCCCACTATCTCTTCACATTACACTTGAGCATCATCCTCCTTGTGCCGTTGTTGCTGTTCTTGTTCCTCCCTCTCATTCATCATGTTCTTACGTCAGTCCTGTGTCTGCTTCTGCTGCTCCTGCTGCTGATCCAGATGCTTCTCGTTCTTTCTTGACGTTGGGCAAACCTTCGGACAAAGCCTGCGGCGTTAATGCGGGCAGTGCAAGATCAAACAAGTCGGTCGTCTTAGCCATGTGACGAACAACTTAAGCCTGGCTGGCTCAGCGGCACAACGAGAGGCGCGAAGGGAAGAGAAAAGACAGTGAGCCCGCAAGGGCACATAGCATGTGCCAGCCAGGCGGTGAAGTAAAGACTCCGAAACGAATAACCAATCACAAACCTGAATATGAAGAAGCACCGAACGAGGGAGGGGGCGACATACGCGCGCAAGCCTGCAGGGATCAACAGTAGCTAAACACAGCTGCAGGCTGTGTGCTAACAAGACTTTCAGGTTTACCTTGTGGTAGCTGCCTGGTCGGATGTGCCCCACGTCCCGATGCCCAGCTTCTCCTCCTGCCCATCATGATGATGATAATCGTGGCTGGCCACCTGTACCTCTTCGTCCTGCCTTCTTCATAAATCCCCCTCCTCCTCCCTCCCCTCCTCCTCCTCCTCTTCCTCCTCCTCCAGCTGCTCCTCCGCCTCCCACTCCACCATTCCTCGCCACCCTCTCCTCCGCCCCCCTCCCTCTCCCCCTCCCCTCCTCCGATCCCCTCCGCCTTCACTGCGTGACTCTTCCTCATCCTCCTCCTACCTCATCCCTTCTCCTCTTACGTAGCATGGGGAAACCCGTCCTGAACAAAAAACCTGGACCCGTTTCCCTCAGGGCCCGTTTCCCCCAAACTGAGAGGAGAAGGGATGAGGCAGAAGGAGGAGGATTCACTCAGGGAGAGCGGAGGGAATCGGAGGAGGGGAGGGGGAGAGGGAGGACGGCGGAGGAGAGGGCGGCGTGAACTGGTGGAGCGGGAGGCGGGGGAGCAGCTGGAGGAGGAGGCGGACCTGTGAGGGAGGCAGGACGAAGAAGACAGAAGGGTGGCCAGCAAGGATGATCCTCATCGCGAGAACCAGGACCTTGGCGATCCTCCTCCGCAGCCGCCGCCGCTGCCGCCGCCGTGGCCGCCGATGCCGCCCCGGGGCGGGGCCGGTAGGAACGCCAAAGGGTACCTATACTGCCACTCCCCGGACCTCTCCTGGGGCGCGTGCGGACCCAAACTTCGGGGCGACTTCGGCGATGGTGGCGAGGGCCTCCCAGGAGGCCCAAAATGGGGAAAACGGGCGAGGGGGCCAGAGTTAAGCCGGGCCTGTCCCCCTACAGGGGGATTTTGGACGAAAAAAATAAAAAGTAGTAAGAAAAACGGAAACAAAAAAAACTCTTTCAAAAATACTCCAAAAATGGTCCCCAGACTATGTTTTGACTATTTTTGAATATTCCTCCGGTAGACGGACAGGCCCGACTTGAGGGTAGAGGTATGGGTAACTGTTCCTCCTCCGGGCCGCCGCCGCCGCCGCCGGCCGGGGCGGGCGCCGCCGCCGCCGCCCGCCGCCGACGGGCGGGCGCCTCGGCGCCGTCGCGCGCCCGCACGGCGGCTGCCGCCGCACCGGCGGCGCCCGACGGCGGCGGCCGTGGGCGGGGCTCCTCCGCCAGGGGGGCCAGCGCTGCGCGGCGCGCGGGGCGCAGCTCGGGCGGCAGGCATTAAGCCGAGCCTGTCCCTCCACAGGAGGTTGCTACTATTTCCCAACCCTCCTTGGTTGGGTATTCGTTTTGGATAGAGCAGTGTGGTCTCCACCGGCCTTCCTCCCGCCTCCCTCCTGTCTCCTCCTGTCTCGCCTGCGGGGGGCTGCGATCTGTGAAACTGTCGCCACGTTCGAGGCTGGCTGGGGGGTCCAGCACAGTGACGCCACGTGCGGATTCAAATTAGACCTCGGCATCCCTGGGGGGCTGCGATCTGTGAAACTGTCGCCACTTTCGAGGCCTGCTGGGGGGCCCATCACAGTGACGCCACGCGCGGATTCAAATTAGACCTCGCCATCCCTGGGGGGCTGCGATCTGTGAAACTGTCGCCACGTTCGAGGCCTGCTGGGGGGCCCAGCACAGTGACGCCACGCGCGGATTCAAATTAGACCTCGCCATCCCTGGGGGGCTGCGATCTGTGAAACTGTCGCCACTTTCGAGGCCTGCTGGGGGGCCCAGCACAGTGACGCCACGCGCGGATTCAAATTAGACCTCGCCATCCCTGGGCGGGCTCGCGATCTGTGAAACTGTCGCCACTTTCGAGGCCTGCTGGGGGGCCCAGCACAGTTCAAATTAGACCTCGTCATCCCTGGGGGGCTGCGATCTGTGAAATTGTCGCCACGTTCGAGGCCTGCTGGGGGGCCCAGCACAGTGACGCCACGCGCGGATTCAAATTAGACCTCGCCATCCCTGGGGGGCTGCGATCTGTGAAACTGTCGCCACTTTCCGGGCCCGCTGGGGAGGCCCAGCACAGTGACGCCACGCGCGGATTCAAATTAGACATCGCCATCCTTGGGGGGCTGCGATCTGTGAAATTGTCGCCACTTTCGAGGCCCACTGGGGGGCCCAGCACAGTGACGCCACGCGCGGATTCAAATTAGACCTCGCCATCCCTTGGGGGCTGCGATCTGTGAAGCTGTCGCCACTTTCGAGGCCTGCTGGGGGGCCCAGCACAGCGACGTCCTACGCGGATTCAAACTAGACCTCGCCATCCCTGGGGGCTGCGATCTGTGAAACTGTCGCCACTTTCGAGGGCTGCTGGGGGGTCCAGCACAGCGACGTCCTACGCGGATTCAAATTAGACCTCGCCATCCCTGGGGGGCTGCGATCTGTGAAACTGTCGCCACGTTCGAGGCCTGCTGTGGGGGCCCAGCACAGCGACGCCCGACGCGGATTCAAATTAGACCTCGCCATCCCTGGGGGGCTGCGATCTGTCAAACTGTCGCCACTTTCGAGGGCTGCTGGGGGGTCCAGCACAGCGACGCCCTACGCGGATTCAAATTAGACCTCGTCATCCCTGGGGGGCTGCGATCTGTGAAACTGTCGCCACTTTCGAGGCCTGCTGGGGGTCGTGTTCTGGCCATGTCATGTTGCCACTGCCCCGCTGACATGTCAAGCCCCCCTGCCCACGTCCTCCTCTTGGTCCTTGGCCCTTCTCTGACGGTCCAGGGATTCAACTGGACAGTCATCTCTACCGCGCCCTTATCCCTTGATCGGGGTCCTGCGAGCCTCCTCAATGCTGGTCGCAAACATATATACGTCCATGTCACGTCATCGCCCCTTTATAAAGTAGCCTGGGCTACTCATGCCCCGCATTTGCGCAGGGGTTGGGTACGTCGCCAAGGTAATGTTAGAATATGTTTTTACTATTGCTACCGTCCAAAATCCCCCTGTAGGGGGACAGGCCCGACTTAAAGCTCGGGCGACAGGCAGCAGAAGGGCTCCGAATCCGAAGTCCGGCATGTCTCTCTACAGTCGGACTTCATTGGAGAGAACACGCGAGAGGACACAAGACCCTTCCGAGGGCCACCATGCCACAGAAATGCAGAAGGCATGGGCCGCAAGACACAGGACACGAGGGTACCCTTGATCTGGCAGGGTCGACCTACTGATCCGGAGTTGGGCAGGTCCCTCTACAGTTGTGGATGCCACGACAATGGACACCCTAACAGTCATGGCATTGAACTTAAAATGTGTTTAAACGGTCGGAGAGAGGTTCTGAACATGTTTCAAATATGTTGTTTTGCATGTTTGAAACAGGTTCAACACATGTTTTAGACATCTGGAATTTGTTTGGCAACATGCGTCCTCTCCATTGATGGTCCTCCACAACTCTACAGGAGGAGTATTCGAAAATGGTCCACAAAATTGTCGGGAGACCATCTCTGGACTGTCTGACGGTGTTTGATCATGCTTGGACGGTGCTTCATTGTTCTTCCAGAATCCGCCTGTAGGGGGCCTCTGCTGCAGACGTGTCCGACGAAGCCACCCACCCATGTGTTTGGGGATATCCCTGAAGACCGTTGCCTGAGTCTGGCCACGAATTCACACATGTATTAGAGTTAGGTCGGGCGTGTCCCTCTACAGGAGGACCTTGGACGAAAAAAACAAAAAGTAAACAAATGCTCACAAATAATCGAAACACGCAAAACAAGCAGTCCCCAGGCTATTCTTGACTATGTTTGAATACTCCTCCTGTAGAGGGACAGGCCCGACTTGATATTAGGGCTAAGGGCTGCATGTTGCTTTGGTTAGACGAGCGCGTTCCACTACTGGCAAAGTGACTACTCGCAAATGGCCTGGATCCGCCGCGGGGGATCTGCGATAAATTACGTCGGACATTTGTGAGTAGGCACTCTGCGAGCAGTGGAACGCGCTCGGTGATTGATGCTCGGGGACCAGCGGCGGAGAGGAGCAAGGCCGGGCGCAGCGTGGGTGGCACGCAACGGAGGCGTGCCTCCGTCGCACACGGCCCGATCTGCGCGGACGGATTTGTGGATGGCTTTCCGGTGGCCTTGGGAAGCTAGTGTTATGTTACTCCCATCGTACTTAAGGACCGAGCACCCAGAAAAGTGTCGAAAGAGTGTCGAAAGAGTGTCAAAACAGTGTCTCCCAGGGCCCGAAACGTGAAAACCTTCGAGTTGCGGAACTTTGCTTGTTGGTGCTCGAAGGTTGGAACATCTTAAAGCTAGCGTCGTGATCTGAAGACGAGCGCGTTCCACTGCTCGCGGAGTGACTATACTCGCAAGTGGCCTGGATCCCCCGCGGGGGATCTACGATGAGTTTCATGGAAGCGAACATCTGCTTCTTCGGACGTTTGCGAGTCAGGGAACGCGCTCGGTGCCTCGGGAAACGCCTGCCGTGATCTGGAGTGGGTGCCATCAGCTGTGCCTCGCCCAGGGTGCCCCTTGGGGTGCAGGAGGCGCCCCGAAGGCGCCGCGGGAGAGCCCGAGGCCTGGCCCGACACCCGAATGTGTGTGTGGACGGGGCGGGGGTCCACTCCCACGGAGGTCGGCCAGACCCCCCTCCGCTGCTCCCGGCCGGTGGCCGCCCGAGGCCCGAGGCCCGTGGCCGCGGTGGTCTGGCGCTCGTCGATGTCCCCGCCTGCTCCTCCTCGAGAGCTGAACCACGGGCGGAGATGAAGGGGCCCACAAACACACAAATAAATACACACAGATAAAAAGATTCCCCATATTTTCTCATGTTTTCTGAGTTTTTGTCTTCCCCACCACTTCCCATATTTTCCCATATTTTCCTGGGGATCGTCGATTAATTGTGTCTGTGTGTTTCTTTCCCTCCTGAGGAGAGCCCGATGCAGCAGGGGGCACGTCGCCCCCCCCCAATCCCAGGCTCCGTGGGGTCGTCGAATTGGGCCGCAGATCCGGGACCCCGCCGTGGGACGTGCGGCGCAGGGGCGCCCAGCCTCGACATGGGGTTGCATCCGAAGTCGGCCCCTTGGGGTGTCTTCCAGGGCGTCCCTCCTTTTCGGAGCGGCTTCGGCGTTCGTCGAACGTCGGGGGCTGGGGGAGAAGCGTCGCCTGCGAAGATGGGGGACGGGCGTCGCACATGTCCCGATGCCCGACGCAGCGGTACAGTGAGAGCCAGTCCACAAGAAACCTTTCACCAGAAACCCAACCCTGAGACCCCAGGACGCCCACTGACATTTGTCGGGTCGGGCGAAAAAGGGGGATAGCAAAGGGGGGAGTGAAAAACAGCTCACGTAGCTGATTTTCCTGGCGATTCCTGGCGCCGGAGGAGGCTATGTATCGAGGAATGGGCCACTCGGTGGGGCCGAAACCAGCTGCATGCAGCAAATGTCGTACCCCCCCCCCTTTCCCAATCCCCCCCTTTCGTCCGGCCCGAATGTGGTGTGGGAGCGTCACGCTTTCCATCGCAATCGATCGAAACCCCAAAAAACCTTGGGCACCCTGGAGGCAAGCAAGGTGTTTGTTGGCATGGGTCTCCACAGTATGCCTAAGTCGGGGCTGTCCCGCTACAGGGGGGATTTCCACAGGAAAAAATACCCCCCGAAAATCAAAAACGAGCCCAGACATAATCTGGGGACTATTATTTGGGTATTGTTTTTTTGCCATGTTGGAAATATTTCTGGGGTGTTTTGCATTTTTTTCACCCCAAATCCCCCTCTAGGGGGACACGCCCGACTTAACAGCATGCGGGGGGGGATTGCCCGTGGCCTCCGCACGACGGCCGGGCTCGCAGGGGGGGAGAAAGCAACGCAGAGGTGCGCGGGGCGGCCCTGCCTGGAGCGGGGCGGCGCGCGACGCGCCCGCGTGCTGCAGCGAGCGGGCGAAGCGGCGACAGGCACGCCCACGCGACGGCGCGCGCAATCGGATGCGCGCACTGCGCCCCCCAGCCCAGCAATTCGGTGGATGTCAACGAGGGGCAATCAACGGGAGGCGGCCGAGGGCTCCAGCAACGCGACCCTGAGCAGAGGGCCCCCCCCCCCCCAGGCTTGACGAAGGAGGCAGCAGCAACAGAAACACTGGCACAGGATGTTTGCACACACCGCGGCGGGCCCTGATGAGGTCGTCGGCGCCTTCTCCGACACGATGGCAACAGCAATGAGCACAAGCACGAAACGCTGTCGCCAGGCGTGCCAAGGCGGCTCAGAACAA